TTATTTTATAAATGAGGGCTTGGAAAAAAAGGAGGGTTTGGCAACATCTGGGACCCAAATCCACTAAAGGATGTGTCCTCTGGACAGGTGCCCTTGTGTGTGAGCTTCATCAAGTCAGCAGTGTGTGAGAGCATCTGTAGGGATCCAGCTGAGCCAGTCCTATGTTTAAGCATAAAACTAAACCTTCTGATTTTGGAAGTCAGTATTTCCAAAGTTTGTACATAGTGAACACAGATGACATGAATAAGGCTGTTACTAGCACAAATAAAGCTGCCATTAAAGTATTTTAGTATAAATAATGGTTGGGAAGAGCCCGAAGTACCAGGGCAAAGAGTCTCTGAATCCTGTGCAATGTAACAAGTGTCCAACTTGCCAGGCGCCTTCTATTTGAAATGAAGTGATAGCATCTACCATCCATGTTAAACAAACAAAAGGAGGTTAACTCAATAAATATCTTTTATTAAAGAAAAACCAGAATATTGTTAAGCACCAAAACTGTATGTTGTTACATAGCATGTACAGGAAGAGAAAGATGATTGCAATACTTGGTGTACAAGTACTTAACTCTGAAGTCACAAGTGTAAAAAACATGAAATACAAAGCAATATGATAATTACAATGCAGAAAAGTTGCACTAAAGAGCAAAAGGCAACAGTCAAAACAATTATTGGAGATATCAGAGTATTGCTATAAATGCTTGCTTAGTTTTTTCTTTGAACTTTTAATACTTCAGAATGCTAATTGAGCATATTTAAGTATTGTAAATTTGCAAGAGTTGGCATTTACAATACACTGTGCACACTGCCCATGTAATGTAACAGTGTTAAAGCCATCCTTGAAAGCCAAGCACAATGTGCTAGTGTTTTGCTTCTACCATTGTAATATTGCACAAAGCTAGAACTGGTTTGCCATTAAAATTTTCATTTGTCCAGGAAGGATAAAAAACATATCAGTTTCATTAGCCCTAATGGGCTTTTATTCATGCAAAACGATGTGTGGCCTTCAATTTTTTATAAACTATATATTATGGTTTCAACATTGGCAATACATACAGTACAAATGAGAGAATCAATGAGACTGTGGGGAGTCCACCCAAGTTGAAGTCACTGTATGGGTTGTACTGTCTACTCCCTTTGGTTCTTAAGTAAAGGGAAAATGCCATCTTGTGATTGTATGGATACTCAAAACCAATATAATTAGTGTTGGGAAAAGCTAGAATAACTTGTTACACTCTTTGATAGTTAACCATTAATCATGCAAGTTTAAAAAAAAAGCCCCAAACTCCCCTTGTTGAAACTGAACTCTACAACCAACACCTATGCCTTCTGTACACGTCTACATTATCACTTTCTCCTTGGTCCTGCCTCAACTCCCCCAAATGAGCCACTCTTAGTTACACCTGACTTTAAAAAAAACCCCAAAACTTTCCCCTAACACTCAAAACAAGTGATTGCTTTGAGATTCAGTGTGAAATAACATTGATATTTCAATACGTCAATCTCAGAGGTATTTTCTGTACATGCACCTTACAGTGTCGTAAGAAATGTATGAAGGGGAGAAATATTTATAACTTTGGAATTCAATTAAATTCCTCAAATACCAAGCTGTACACTTACTGTGGGCAAAGGGAAATTTTCAGAATGAACACATCTTTGAAATAACCCAATGAGCACACATTTAACACACATACACAGGCACACACAGAATCCAGGCTCCCTCTCACCTTTAAAAAATCTGTTTACATACATGATAGTTTAGGCAGCATTATAAACTCATTTTTTTAGGAAAAACTTTTAAATTAGACTATATTTATAAGATAAAAATACCGTTGCTTCATTTTACAAAGCAATTAAACAGAGATTTTTTTTTAATGTGCTTTAACTAAAGAGCACTTTGCAGCAAAGTTCAGAAATAACTACTGCGTGGTTCAGTAGCACTAAGTAAATGCAACATGCTCTGACAGTAAGGTGCTTCTCCTTTCTACCTCTCTTCCATCGGAAATAAATTTTGCCAGTCGGTCCCTCTCACCCTAAGCATAGTTCTGCTATGCGAAGCAATAAATGGGGAATAAAATCTGTTCAAAATGCACATTTATATTAATTAAATTCAGTGCAAGAATTAGGCAAAACTTAAGGTTTCTGCTTTCACTATCAAATGGCTGCATGTTAGCAATGAGTCTGACACAGTTTTTTAATGTTTTACAACTGTTCAAAAAAGATTTTTTACAAGTAATCTGGTGAAGTATAGGAAATTTCAACTCCCTGATAAGGCCTTTAAGGACCCATTAGTACTTTACAGGTTGAAATCTGATGTTGAGTACATAATAATGAAATTATAAAGATTAAAGAAAAACCCCTTACATTTAGTGAAAGAAAAAACTTTCCTTAGGCTAAAAGCATTGACTTAAATATATATACATACTCAGTGAATGTAATTAAAAAACTGGAGTCTTAGGGAATGTATAAAATTAAATTGTATTCATTGTATACTGGTCCCATGCAAACACAGAGGATGCGCCCCATTTATTTCTGTTCCACTGATAACCAGAGTTTGATTCTTCACATCTGCTGCGGCCACAGCATGCTTTACAGAGGTGGCCACACCTTATGTTACCAGATATTGCCACCAAATTCAGCTTTGGAAAAACAAGAACTTCCCCCCTCTCATTATATGTAAAAGTGCTGAAAACTTTCTATGGTTTCATGTAAGAAAAGCCCCACATTCCCACTGTGGAAATAGTCCACCTGATCACCTGTCACAGCTGTGTCGAAGAGTCTATCTGAAAATGGATTTGAAAATTGCATTTTATAGAAATGTTTCAGTTTCACAATGACAAATTAAGGAATGATTGTTTTTATGCTGCTCACAAACTCAGTAAGCCTATAAAATGTACACCAAACAAGCAAGACAAGTGCTTATCTTTTAAAAATCCTCTTGAGCCAGGCATTTCCTCATACTGCCATACTACAGTACCATTAGGATTTTAAACCATTAGTAATACCTTTTTTATACATGCCACATTGGTTATATATACATAATTTTAGTTGCATTAGAAGAAATATTTAAAATTGACATTCAAGTGAGCAGTAACATTAACCTCAAAACATCTCCCAATCATCATCTACTTGTTTCCGTATTTTTAAATATGGTGCAGTCAAGACTAGATTGGTAAATTAATTATAAATAGAGTTAGGCACAAGCAAACAGCTGCTTGTGGATTCTTAAAATGGAAATGATACCTTATCAGAAATATAACTGTCAATTATTTAAAACCATACAAATAGTACAGACAACTTTGGAACTGATACCATCTGTAAATGCCATCATAACTGAATACATACAAATGCAATACTAAGGCCAAAGATGCTCATCTGATCAAGGGCAAGAAAAAAGAAAGAATTTAACTATGCCAACGTAATTCTTGTTGAGTTCTGAAACTACTTTAAAATTAAAATGAGGATTCCACTGGTCATCTCATCTTGATGGATAACTCAACCATAGTTATTTTAAATTTTAATACAATTTGTGAGAACTCAAGGTTGATGACCTGTGGTAACATGCAATTTTGTGGAAGTAGGCATCTGAATCTTGAAGGGAAGTGAATGTGCCAGACAAAGCTGTTTACCAGAGAATAAATAAGCACAGCTGGCTGCTTTAACCCACTCATCTGCAAGTGTGAGATAACCCCCACCAAGTACCACAGTGGGACGTGCTAAGAGCTGTGGGCACACCCCTACAAGGACTAGTGGAGTGTCTACCCACCCTCCATTACTTGCTAGAGACTTATTATACCATGGCTCAGGAAGACCGACTGCAGGACATTTTTAGAAGTAAGCCTGCCTATCTTTTAGAGGAATCCCAGCAGCAGCACTACATAAATGAGTAGCAATTCCCTCTAGATACATGAGAGTTCTAGTGCTTTTGCTATTAATTTAACACTATATCATCCAGTGTTTTCTAAATGTCACTGAAGGAAAAACAAAACAAAACATGTTGTGAACAAGCATCCAAAGGCATAAAATTGATACATGATATTTTTAAGGTTTACAAATGTACTAAACATTTTTTTAACTACATTAACAATCAAATCAACCATTCTTTGGATTAAAAAACATGCTTAAATGCTTTACTGATGATGGTATACAGAAAAAAATACCTGCCTCCATTCCCCATTATGGGATGATTAGTTTTATATATTATATCTGTATTTTTAATCTTCACAGACGTGAGAATAGTGTTAGAATAAACCAATGTATTGTGAAAATGCCGTGCAAAAGCTCCCAGTCTTATCAATAAAAGTATTACCAACATTTAAGCAGAGACTTTGTTTTATATAATTAGCTGGAAAATTTCCTCTATAATTATTTTGAAGAAAATAACTCTTTAAAATGACAAAGATGTATGCATTTCTTTTTTACTCTGCAATAGACCAATTCATTGGGGGCTTTTGCACTGAGACTGCTTTCTGAGTCTAGGCCAGAGAATTATTGTCTCATAAGAAATAAAAGTTCTTTTTGGTACTTAAGTCCTTAACTCCCTTCACACAAGGCCAAGAGCTGTGTGAAGAACTATACTCTACCGAGTACTGTCAAGTGAGCCCAACATATCTACCTTCATTCGAGCCCACAGCAGTCCAGCTGAGAATTCATTAACGGTTCCATTCATAGAACTGGGCCTTCAGGACTCCCATTACCACAAAATCAGCACCTAGAGTTACTGTTTAAAAGTTTAGTGATGAAGGCTCTTTCCCACAATTCCACTCAAAGCATGTAAAGACAGTAAAATGCCAGCTAAGGAGACTTTTCTATCTACTTTCTTTGCATATCTGTGGAACAATGAGCACACATCTTTTCACTGTGGAGCATAAAAATAAAAACTTAAATGGTGCATGATAAAGAGACTTAAGATCTGCATCCCTATTATAGAATCGTGATTTTTGATTCTCAATAGGAAAGTCATGTTGAATTATAGTAATCAAGCAATAGTTCAAACAAAAAGACTAAAAATAATTTGAAATATTTATTGCTTCTCATAAACAAAGCTGCACACAAAATTCAAACTATTATAAATTCACAATTATGAAGAGCTATTTAAAAGCATGGGAATTTTTTCTTTGAAAACTTACAAAGTATAAGAGTGTGTGGTCTTCTAAAAATATGCCATGTTAAATGTATCATATTGCGGTAAATACATTAACAGATGTATCTCCATAGTTATATATCTTTCCAGATGTTGTTTAACATCTTTATGAAAATTCCTTTGGAGATGAATAATGTGGAAATTTTCATCAGATATATTTCTCTCTGATTTTCTTTCAATTCCTGTCCTATAGCTATCAAGATGAACTTCTTTTTCAGAGTGTCACACTACTTACTTATATAAGCTGACAGGGAAGGAGCTCTGTAATTTTCAAGCGGATGACTGACTACTCACTGCAGTCCCGATACAGCTCACAGTAGACCTCTGTCAACCAGTGTTCTTCCAACTCATAATGACCACTAGCTTTACTGGCCACTACAAGTATGTAAGTGGGTGGACAGGAGGGGAAGGTGGTTTTAAAAAAAACAACAACCCAAGAATCTCCTTGAAAGGCCTTTTCTTCACTGTAGTCAGGGGCATCCACATCTAACATTCCAACATCTACTGGAATGACTGGAAAAGTGGTAACTTGCCAATTGTGCTTCCTTTTTTTTTCACACCACTGAGCCAATACATTTTGGATCTAATGGAATCCAATTGTAGACCAAAGTGCTTAAAATTTGTTTTCCAAAAGAATATGAATCGATCTTCAACTGCAGATATTTTTCTTTCTGTTGAGTCACCTGTTTACAAACAAAATAAAGTATATTATGAAAGGACAACCTATTAAAGGAAAGTGTGTATATATGCTTTCTCATACTTTTGTAATATCCAGAATGAACACTGATATTTTTTCCTTATAAGCGGCCATTTATACAGCCAGTATACGAGACTCTTAAAAAAAAAAAAAGATATGCTTGTATTCAAAAAGCAATAAAAATTAAAACTTTACATATGGATATTGATCTCTGTTAAAAGGTTGTACATTATTTTCATTTTTATTCCTTTTATCCTAACATTTATGTCAAAGAAAAATATAAGCTAAAAATAGTTGCCTCATAAACTGCCAGCATAATAACTATTAAGTGACATCTTTAAAAATCACTAGGGAGCAATTTCTGTTATACTGACACTTATAGAATTAATACTAGTTTTTAAATGGGTGTTTACGAGGACTTTAAAAAATTCAAAATAGTTGTGTTTGAGATCTATGTGCTTACCTATGGCACAGAACATTTATATAAAAGGTCCACTTATCAGATGAAAGCTGACAATGCACAGGAATAAAGTACTGGGCTGACCAAAGAGTCTGTTTACTTTTTTCTATAAAATAAAGGACACATTCTTCATTTTCACTAATAATTTTTTTTGATTTGGATATTTTGAATACGTCAGATGTCTTCTATGTGGTATAACATTGACTGTTCTCAATAAATGTCTCAATCTGATCACCATCAGCTTCAACGCACCATGGTGCATTGTCCAGGGAGAAATCTCCAGCACGTAACTTCAAAAACCACTTTTGACGTGTTCAGTCACAGCACCTTCTCCACACACTGTACAAATCTTTTTTTGCCTTTACAGTTGCTTTTTACCTTTCTTGAAATAAGGAAGCATAATATACTGAAAATGTTGCATATTTTCTTCCATCTTCAATATTAAAATGGCTACACAAAATTTACCAATTTTAAGTTTTTTAAATAGATGCATCCTGATATGACAGCAGTCACAATACAATTTAACAAAATTGCTTTGAATTAAGTTAAAGATAACTAAGTGCTACAAGAGCCATACTATGGGAAGAAACCAATTGACCTTTTTGGCCAACCCAATACTAACTTATTGAATAGTTTTGCATTATCCAATACTGTAACTATCTAAGTGTGGCTACTAAGCACTTAAAAATGTGGCAGTGTGACTAAGAAGCTGAATTTCTAATTTTATTTAAATTAAAATCTGAAGTAGTGTAAAATATTTGTCCACTAAATATAATTTTCTTTTGATAGTACATTTCACTTTAACCACTGCATATTTAGCATCCAAATTGAGGTGTACTACATTGTAATTTATACTAGTAAGTGTACAATACAAGGTAGATTTTGAAGACTCAGTACAAAAGAATGTAAATTACATCATAAATTTTTTAAACTGAAAACATATTGAAAGATACTGTTTTTGAATATATCATGTAAAGTATTAGTAAAATCCATTTCACCCATTCCTTTTTACCTTTTTTAAATATGACTATTAGAACTTCTAAATTCCTATCTGTGGCTCACTACGTATTTCTATTGGACAACGTCATTATAATGACTTCATAAGTTTAAGGACCCCACAGGAAACAAAATAGAAACTCAGTAAAAAGTCTATATAATCTGCCAATTCCCTTATGTTTAGAAATGCCCTTCGAGGACACTATTACCTATAGTTACCTATGAAAAGAGTAGAATGGGGGATCTTCTTGTTTTACTTCATGAAGTTTTGAGAAATTAGCTCTTCAAAGAAGTATGAATTACATTAATGATTTAAAATCTCTAAGAATGATGCTAATTAAAGTAGGAAGTACAAATTACAGCCTTCTAAGCTATCTGCAGGAAAGTATCTAAAGTCCGGAACCTTTAAAAAGGGTTCCTGGGGGCACACAACAGGCAGTGAAATACCGCGCCTTCACCTCCGCCTGCTCCATGCGTGTGGAGTGCACCTGTCTACTGATTGTCTGGAAGTGTCTCACTGTTCCTCTTAATATTATACCACATACACCAGCCATAAAAAATATTCAGTCAAATAAAGAAAAGATTTAGACAATTTTCAAATTAGTACTTATCACGAACATATTCTTAACATCTGATATAAAGCTAAATTAGTAGCCAAAGCTACAAATAACAGCCCAGCCACTTGAATATAAGAACTACTGCTGCAGTGTCTGTGTTTGAGCAGGATCTGGTGGGACAGAGGAAGACAAACGAGAATGGACTGGCCTGAGCTGCTGGAAGGCCATGTACTGGGACTGGGCCACTGCAGGCGACTGTAATAAAAGGACTAAACAAACTCGTCTATGTGAAGGCAATTCCCAGTCAGACAGCTGGGTGGTCTGTCCAGAAACACACAAAGTAGACACACTGATACATTTACATCCCTCTGCAAAGCTCAGTGCACATATGTACAAGCACAAATGCTTTGAAATTATCTGAGGATCTAAAAAGAGTAAGTCCTACAGAGTGACTGTTAATTAGGACCTCTATAAATAAGGCTCTTGGGGAAAAGGACACCCACCAAAAGCCTCTACTTCCCAAGAGGAATATGATTGTTTTCACCCATTTTGTTAAACTACTGATCTTTGCAGATGCTGCTGGGGAGAGGTGAGATTAGGAGTGTAGGAGAGGAACATTCTCTTGATGGACCCATGTCCAAACACATAAAAGTACTTTTAGTAATGTTTTATGTCCAAAATAGTGTATTTGAACGTGTAATCAATATAAAAATTAATGACAGTTATGTTTTTTGTATTAAGTCTTCAAAATACAGATGTATTCCTGCATATACATCAGTTCTATTTGGTCAGAATCCTGGGGAGTGAAGGCCAGGAATCTACACTTTTAATAAGCTTTCCAGGTAATCCTAAGCATGTTTAAGAATAACTGTGCTAAGGAATAAGTTTATTACTCCTTTCCTTACTCCCTCCAGCACTGAGTCTTCCACCTTTTGGTGAAGGTTGTAAAGCTATATACTCTTTAATTTATATAATTAGCTTATTACAATGTACTGCAGTATAACTCTCTATTACCTTACGAGAATGCCAAATGTGTAACCAGTACCCAACTGGGGTACTCAGTAAGATATGTGTGTGTGTGTATATATACATATAATTTTTATATTTATGTTAACTGCAATTGTAACTAAATAATGCAATAACTATAGTAAGTCTTAAAGTGATAAACCTATCTTAAAGGTTTTGAGCTAAATAATCAGATAATACAATTATTTTTCTACACTGATCTTTAAAAATTCCTTTGTGGGCAGCTATTAAGACATTGAAATTCAATACGTATAAGTTTGTAATCAAAATACTTCAATTAGAAAAAGCCTTTTCTGTGTTTTAAAGCTAGAATAAGATATTCTGTTATTCAAATAACACTATCTTCTTTACTTGGGATAAAGCTATACTGCAGAATTTTAGTGAACTGGATATAAAAAACAGCATTTACATAGCAGTATCTTTGAAAAGTGCTTTTCCATTAAGTTTCTAGAAACTATAGAAGTAAAATATGAAGTTTAAAAATTTATGACTTAACAATTAAACTGTATAGTTATTAATAAACCTCAGACTCAATAAAATATAACAGACAATCATTATACAATATAAAAGCTGTGTTATCAAATGCTACTGAAGAAAGACCATTTACTTGTTAGTTTTCCCATTCTGTGCAAGGCAAAGTCTCCTCTTCATCCTCTGACTCAGGGGATGCTTCTTTGATTCTTCGAAGAGCTTCATGGATGCTCCGTGTTAAAGGGTCTGTGTCAGGCAGCAGCGTGAAGGATTCTCTCAAAACTTCCTTCTGCACCTTCTTCAATTTTACCCCCTTCCTTATTTGTGCCAAGATATTATTACTATCATCTTCATCAGGAAAAGGAGGCAGAGTTCGCTGTTCAACCTTTTTCAGATGAAAACTACCACGTTTCAAGGAAGCTAGCACCTCATCCATAGGTGAGCTCACTTTAGAAAAAGGAAAAGAACAATTATAGTTAGGATTGCACTTAAATTACAGTATAACCTCCAGACTTTGGATTGTGATAGCCCATGACATTGGAAAAACCATCTATAAAATGGGCCACGAAGAAGTGTGAACAGAAAAGATTGCCAAAGCACAGGAGATCTATTATGCTTATAAAAAGAAACTCCAAGACTCAAATTCCATGTCAGGTATTATTTGGCATTAGCATGGGTGAGGCCTCCAAATGTTTCTGTAAAGCAACAGCCCAATCTAAATTCGGACAGTGACTGAGTTAACACATTCAATTTGAAAACTTTTGATTTTGGTTTATTATAGTGACTTGTTTTCATTTAGTTGCTTTATACATGAAATTCTACTTGGGTTATAGTAAAAATATTTTATAGCATGGTCTCTCAGATTAAAATGTAACACACAAAATGTTTTATATGTTCTCCTTATGCAAGCAAGCTAAAGCTCCTTAAGAACAGGATTATTCTGTTCTTTTCAAAAATAGCTTTTAGGCATACATGATGTGCAAGAAATTGTACATACTACTCCCTGTTCTTCTTTGCTTCTTTATACGAAGTGTGCCAAGGTCCTCAATGAACACGTGAGCAAATGTTACATCGTCCTGCCCATGTCATCCTGATGTGACGGTTCTGACCAGATGGCTTAAGCTTTGTGATGTGAATACCTATTTTGTCTTTCCAACGTTTAAAATCAGACTTTCTTCACACAAGGAGCCACATACTAAGTATTACCAAATACATCAAGAATCACTTCAGAAGATGTATTTTAAAAAATATCCGTAACAGCTAAAGGTACACATTTCTGTGTTTGTACACATTTACTGATGCAGGTTGGTAAGAATTCTGCCTTACTGTGACCCTGACAATCTATCTGCTATCAAATAATGTCCAAAAAAAAAAAGAGTATTTTAAGCTTTGTAAGATCCTATGAAATAAAATATCTTTTGATTATGTTTCACTTTATTCAACAGATGAACATGAAATCACTTTGTAACTTACCTCTCCTTCTCTGCAAACCTTCAGCAGTCTTTTTGAGCTTCTTCCTGGCACTGACCAGCTGGCTACTATCAAAGAGGTGTGCTGAAGGGGCACTTGCAGACTTAGGGATCCTCTTCTCAGTCCCCTCCATTCCAGGCAGACCTTTCTCCAGTGTCTCTGGGATACTGTCCTTAGCAACAGGCAGAGGTGGTGGTGGTGGTGGAGGGGGAGGAGGTGGTGGTGGGGGAGGTGGTGTTGGAGGAAGAGGTGGTGGGAGTGGATCTGTGGTACCAGAACCTGGTTCAAGGTCATTATTATTCAAAAGTGAAAGAGAAACAGTGGGAGACAGTTCCGAGGTAACACCACCGAGAGGTAATGAAGTGTCTTCAAGTTGTACTAATGAAGTATCTTTGAGCTGTACGAGGCTTTGGGCTTCTGTTTTCTGTGATGACCCAAGCTTGCCTCTTCCTTCCTCTACCTCTGCACTTTTCTCTTCTACTTGCAGCGCTCCTGGTACAGAGTCACATTGGTCCTCGCAGGGCACAGGACTGGTGGCACTCCTTCTTCTTGCATGAGCCAGTCGCAATCTGGTTGATTTAAGTATAACTTGACCTGGGTGCCTCTAAAAGATCAGAAGTTACCATAACTGGTTAAATTATATTAAAATAATTTGCCCTGGCTGGTGCAGCTCAGTGGAATGAACTTGGGCCTGCGAATAAGAAGATCGCAGTTCAATTCCCAGTCAGGGCACATACCTGGGTTGCAGGCCAGTTCCCAGCAGGGGATGTATGAGAGGCAACCATACATTGATTGATATTTCTCTCCCTCTCTCCTTCCCTTCCCCTCTAAAGATAAATAAATAAAATCTTTTTAAAAATTGTATTAAAACAATTTATGAATAAATGGCTATTTTCTCCCTTGAATGCGAGATGTTATTTGGAGATTTTGTAATTTTCAGGAAAAATTCTTTAATATATACAGAAAACCAGAGTACTTTTCAAACAGTTATCACCAAAATATTGTTTGCTTATTATCAAGTTCTTTATCAAGGTCTTGTATTCTTTTATTGACTTAAGCAACTATTCAAAATTACCATGATTAAAAAAAGGTCTTTACTGCATAAAAGTATGCATTTAGATGAAAATATAATAGCCATGTAAATTATGCAACATAAATGATGTCAAACATACACACACATATGCATAAAGCTAAGGAACTATTATTATTAGTTTCTTAAATATATTTCCAACTGCTTACAGATAAAGTTTTTTGGAATAGTAACTGACATACAGGACTCTAATGCTATATTTTTACTATAGTGAAATGCATTGAGTTAATGCATTTACTTAACTCAAGGCTTATCCTTATATTAAGGGCTAGTCCATCTATGCCCCCTCCTTTTACTATAATACTAAGAGGACTTTATCAAAAGCTTCCTTCACCTCTACGATGATCCCTCACCACAGACAGTGGAAGTAAGGCTCTTGAGCTCCTTAATAACTAAAATCACCCAGAAAGGAAATATTTAGCTGCTATGATATCAGTGTCCAGAGTCATGGGTTAGCCTCGTAAGGAAACTGCTGAGGTATTTCTCAGGTATGCTGACCCACCCTCCATTTCTGTCACTGGTCATTTGTGTAGATTATTACCAGAGGTAATGCTTGAAATGGAGTTGGTTGTAAACTAATTATTTTATAAAACTGAAGAGGAATCCAGGCTCCCAGAGTCCTTGACCATTCATTCCCCTTATACTACTACGCTGAAGTGGTAGGCCAAGGGTCACAAGAATATTAATTCTGAAAACAACCAGAGGAAAGGTAGCTGTGTAATCAAACCACTAATTTAAAAACATAAAAGGACTGATATCATTATTTTCTAAATAACAAGAGAAAAACTCAGTTTTTCACATACAAATAAATTTACAATAGGAGTGTGTATGTAGTAATGAAAAACAATACAATGATCTTACTTATATTACCTGTTTAAAAGTTCGAAGTCTATCCAGTGTTCTCTGTCTTTCTTGGCTAACCCAGGCACTTTTTCTTTCTTCTTCATCATGTAATTTTTCTCTCTTCTGGTAAGAAAATTAATAGTAATTTCATTATGATGTTTCACATTTCTTTTTATTGGTAACAGGAAAAAGAAGAGTGTTCTCCCAGTATATTAGTAATCTGGGTCATTCCAAAGAATGACACATTAAACAAAAAATTTTTTAAACATTTATTTGTTTTGGGGGAGAGGAAAAGGGAAGGACAAAGAGAGAGAGAGAGAAACATAAATGTGTGGTTGCCTCTCGTGTGCCCCCTACTAGGAACCTGGACTGAATCCCAGGCATGTGCCCTGACTAGGGATCGAACTCGAGACCCTTTAGTTTGTAGGCCAGCACTCAAATTCACTGAGCCACATCAGCCAGGGCTAAACAAAATATTTTATTTTTTGTATTTACTCCCAATTAAAGATGTTTATTCTGTAAAACAGAATAAAACCTTTAGTCTACGGCCATACCACCCTGAACACGCCTGATCTCCTCTGATCTCGGAAGCTAAGCAGGGTCGGGCCTGATTAGTACTTGGATGGGAGAATAAAATCTCTAAACTAAAAAATGTTTCATTTGGGGGTTTCTGCCTTAACCAATTTTAGTATGAAATACTTGAAGCTGCTATATTCTATATTCTAACTCAAATAATGGACCTTAAAAATAAAACCAACAACCACTAGGTCAGTAATTTACATATTACACATTAGTTTAACCAGTATAGCCAGCAGTTGGGGGGAAAAAAAGTACTTCCAGCACTATACATGAATCATTTTAATTAACATTAGATTTCTCAACTTATAGTTAACATTTATCTGCATAAAAGTTAAAATTTTTTCCTGGGTTCCTGAATCAACTTTAAGTTGTCTAACCTTTCTTCCATTTGTCTGCTGTCTTTTTCAAATTCAATTCTCCATTATTCTTTTTTCTGGTACCTCTTTCTTTCTTTCCACCAACTTGTTCTGGACAATATAAATTCTAATGGCAGTTTACTGCTACGTTTGCCTTGGATGATTATATCAAAATCTAAAGGATTACTTGAATCTTCAGACTAAAGTGTACATAAATTTTCAGTAAACCCCCATACACAGTGATCAAGTGGTAAAGTTACTGGATTTCTAGAGTAAAGAAAGATTTTTTTTATGGATATCCAAGCAAAAAAAAAATCAAGTCTCATAAGGGGGTGTGGATTGGGAGAGGTTACTTCAGGCCTATTGCAACATTCAATGCTACAAGACAGTGTGGTAAGAATGTGGTAATGTCTCCAAAATTTAGATGAAGAGGAAATATAACAGCATCATCCAACCAAATTGTCCTTTATGTATAAAGGCAACACATAAGCATTCCCAAAACATACCAGACTCAAAAAATACAGCAACCACGAACTTTCCTGAAATAGTATCTTAATGAAATCTAATCATCTCCAAGATGAATCAAACTAAACTCAGGAAAAGTTAAGTTGTGGTGGGGATTATTTACTGGATGGTGACAGACGGCAACCCAAAGCGGGTGCATGGTAACATTCTGTTCATCAGTCTAGGTGCTGGTACCCACATAGGTATATTCATCTTGTGAAAATTCTTCATGTTATATAATTAGGAGCAATACACTTTTCTGTATGTATGTTATGTACATATTATGCTTCAAAAAAGCAATAAAAGATTTCCATAACAAAGTATTTTTTTAGAAAGATAAGAACAGACAATGATTAGTGAGGGCACATAACAGAGCCTAAAGGAAGTAGGTAGTATTAAAAGAAGCTACCATGAGCAAAATAACTGAAAAAGTTCTGATCAATTTCCATAAACTACAGCTTAAAAGCATGTATTCCAGGAGTACTTTCTTTTAATTTTTCCCTTTTTAAAAAATCGTCAACCAAGAATATAAACATTTATTAATTTTAGAGAGAGAGGATGGGAGAGAAGAGAGAAAAACACAGATGTGAGAGACAAACATCAGTCAGTTGCCTCTCATATGTGCTCTGACCTGGGATTGAACCCGGACCCTCATGGGTTGTACAGGATGATGCTGCAACCAACTGACCCATCCGGTCAAGGCACATGTGTACTTTCCTGAAGTGAAACTCATGAATTATGGATGCATGTGGTTACATAAAACAAGAATGCATTTTTTAATGGGAAGATCTGATTTGTTTCCCGACCACCATTTCTTTTCTTTACCCAAAATGTTTGAGCTTAAAAAGAAGTAATAAGCAAGTAATGTTACATCTATAACTATTGTTTTAGAGCTCACAATCAATATTAAACCTCCATGATCTTACATATTTAATTTGCAAAGATTTCTAGAAGAAACATTTTCCAGTGTGGAAAAACAATGATTTATCCTGATCCAAGCCAAGTTTCATTTTCTACTACCTATATATGTTAAAGATCACTAGATAATTAAAAATTCATTCTCTCACCCAATGAGAAATTCTACCCAAAGCTGGTATTAGGCAAATGACATTACACATATGACATTTATCTTTGAGATTCCCCCAAGTATCGATGCCCTTATTTTTACTCTTCTTTGTCCCATGAAACTCTGAGAAAGGATTTAATATTCATTGTAAAAGTAATTAGTTATGCCATCTACCAAAGTATTAGCCTTTTATCAGAAGCCAAAATCTTCATGTAATAAGGAACAAACAGCAAGCTGATAGTGTAGGTGCTGATGGTGATAGTGGGGGCATTCCGACACATGTGTTCTGCTAAATCTGACCTTTCTTATAGACCAGTTTCTGAAAATAGTAAAAAACAGAATTGAAATAATTAATTTACCTATTTCTAGCTGCTAAGAAAAAGAAGAATCAAACAGTTAATGTGTAGTTTGGCTACTTTCATGTGCTTAAAATAAAAAGTAAGGGGCTTCAGCTAACATGTGCCAAAATAAGCTGAAGTGATAATATAGACAAATTTGGCCTTGTGTGTTACACTGAAGAAAACTTTTAAGCAAGCATATATAGTGATGTGGTCATGTCATCACTACTACTGTTTTAAGGAAATATAAATCAATGGTGTTGACTCACCTAAGATGTGTCCCAAAAGACAACTATCAGAATAATACACTGCAGGCATGACAAGGTACAAAAAATACCAGGAGTGGAAGGTTTTGAAAAAACTAGTGATCCCAATGCAGAGGCACACTGACAATAGAGAGGAACTGCTTCAACTTGACAAACAACATTAACAAAAACCCCACAGATAATACCATACTTAATGGTTAGAAAGTGGAAGCTTTCGTGTTGGGAACATGAAAAGACAGATGTCCCCCCTGACCACTCCTTTTCAACACTGTATTAGAAAGCCTAGCTAATGCAAAGAAAAACAAAAACAGGTATACAGACTGGGAAAGAAGATATAATACTCTTTTATTTGCAGGAGACATCACTGCACAGAAAATTAGAAAGAACTGACACAAGAAAAAAAGAAAAAGAAAAAAGAAAACTCCTGAAAATAAGTGATTCTAGCAAAGTTGCAGGATACAAGGTTGACATATAAAAGTCAACTGCTTTCCAATGTACCAGTGAAGGACAACTGGATTAGAAATTAAAAACTACTTACATGTTATACCACAAAAAAAAAAAAAGAATAAGAAGAAAAAAGGAGAGAAGGGGAGGGGAAGGGAGAGGGGGCAGGGAATGAAAAAAAGGAAGGGCTTCCAGGAAGCACAGACAGTCCCAAAGAAGTTGGACCCAAGGAGGAACACACCAAGGCACATCATCATTACATTACCCAAGATTAAAGATGAGAGACTCTTAAAAGCAACACGAAAAAAGGAGAGAGTTACCTATAAAGGAATTCCCGTAAGACTAACAGCTAATTTCTCAAAACAAATCTTGCAGGCAAAAGGTGCTGGAAAAAAGTATTCAAAGTCATGAAAAGACAAGGACCTACATCTAAGATTACTTTATCCAGCAAAGCTATCATTCAGAATGGATGGGCAGATAATGTGCTTCCCAGATAAGGTCAAGTTAAAGGACTGCATCATCACCAAGCCCTTATTATATGAAATGTTAAAGGGGCTTACCAAAGAAAAAGAAGATGATCAAAACTATTAACAGTAAAATGACAACAAACTCACAACTATCAACAACCAAACCTAAAAAAGAAAAACACTAAGCAAACAACTAGAACTGGAACAGAAGCACAGAAATACAGATCACATGGAGGGTTACCAGTGGGGAGGGGGGAAGGGGGAGAATGGAGGAAAAGGTACAAGGAATAAGAATAACTGGTAGGTACAAAATAGATGGGGGAAATAAAGAACAGTATAGAAAATGTAGAAGTCAAAGAAATTCTATGTACAACCCACAGACGTGAACTACAGGAGGGGATGCTGGGGGCATGATGCAAGGTAGAGGAGGATAAAAGGGACAAAAAATGGGGAAACTGTAATAGCATAATCAATAAACTATACTTACAAAAAGAAAAATTACAATGTTTAAATTTTTATTTAATTTATTGATTTTTAGAGAGGGGAGGGAAGGGACAAAGAAAGGGAAAGAAACACTGATGTGTGAGAGATACATTGATTGGTTGCCTCTCATACACACCCAGCTGGAGACCTGGCTCAAAACCCAAGCAGGTGCTCTGACTGGGTATTGAACTGGTATCCTTTTGTTCCGCAGTCTGACACTCAATCCACTGAGCCACATCAGCCAGGGTAGGATACAAATTAAATAAAACAAATTTAGGTACAGTATCTATACGAAACAAACTATAATACTAACAAAAAATCACATAACTATATAAATGGAGATATATTCCTTGTTCATGGATAGATAAGAGTCAGTGTTGTTACAATGTCTGTTATTCCCAATTTGATCTACAGATTCAATGCCATCTTAGTCAAAACCCCAGCTGCTTATTTCATGGTTACTGACAAGCTGATTCTAAAGTTTCTTTACAGAGGATTTTCAGTTAAGATGATGCTGTAGGCAGATATGGCTCACCTCTTCACACAACCACATCAATATTACAACTAAAATATAGAACCATCACTCAGAACCATCAGAAACTGAGTTGAAGGGCAGTCTG